TCAAACAACTGTCCTGTCTTCCTCAAACAACTGTCCTGTCTTCCTCAAACAACTGTCCTGTCTCCCTCACTGTCTGTACCGTGGGGACACGTGGAGGTGAGGCAACTGTCTAGTCTGCTGAAACAACTGTCCTGTCTCCCTCACTGTCTGTACCGTGGGGACACGTGGAGGTGAGGCAACTGTCTAGTCTGCTGAAACAACTGTCCTGTCTCCCCCTATGTGTTGTCTCGTCTGCTCCAACAATCGTTCTCCCTCCCCCAGCTCGTGCCTGAGGTCATGGCTGGAACAAGACACATCCTGTCCCACATGCCGCACCGCCCTCAGCGAGACCCCGCAGGGAGAGAGGAACCCCATGGGCCCGCCCGGAGCCCCCAACGTAGCAGACGGCATCGTGCCCCCGGCCCCCCAGGGAACCACCAACCATTTTTTCCACTTTGACGGTAAGAAAAACCAGACACCAATTCCTCATCAAATAGTTGTTGAACATGTCCATTTTGTTTGTGATAGTTGGTGAGGTCAGGCCTTTCTGTGGGCGTACAGGAAGACATTCCTTGCTGATTAAGCTTAGAGGAAGACATTCCTGGTTTGTATCGTTCTTTGTTCATTGAGCTTAGAGGAAGATATTCCTTGTTGGTAACGTTCTGTGTTGTGTCAATGACAGACTCGCGGTACGTGAGGTTAGATAACGTTCATTGTTCTGTCAATGACAGACTCGCAGTACGTGAGGTTAGAGGAAAATGTTCCTTGTAGATAACGTTCTGTGTTGTGTCCATGACAGGCTCGCGGTACGTCAGCTGGCTGCCCAGTTTCTCGGTGGAGGTGACCCACACCAACTTACTGCCCGGGCAGCAAGCTCACGCCACACAGACCTCACAGCTGGACAACATGGCCCGAGAAGTGCAAGTGGTGTTTCCCAGCATTCCTCAGCAGGTCATCATGGAGGACCTGAGGGTCACGCGCTCGGTGGACCAGACCATCGACAACATCCTCGAAGGTCGACTGATTGTGCCTCAGGTGAGACTGGCTGTGTGTGCCACAGGTGAGACTGGCTGTGCCTCAGGTGAGACTGGCTGTGTGTGCCACAGGTGAGACTGGCTATGTGTGCCACAGGTGAGACTGTGCCTCAGGTGAGACTGGCTGTGCCACAGGTGAGTCTGGCTGTGTGTGCCACAGGTGAGACTGGCTGTGCCACAGGTGAGACTGGCTGTGTGTGCCACAGGTGAGACTGGCTATGTGTGCCACAGGTGAGACTGGCTGTGTGTGCCACAGGTGAGACTGTGCCTCAGGTGAGACTGGCTGTGTGTGCCACAGGTGAGACTGGCTGTGTGTGCCACAGGTGAGACTGTGCCTCAGGTGAGACTGGCTGTGTGTGCCACAGGTGAGACTGTGCCTCAGGTGAAACATGGCAGATTGTTCTGTTGGCCTTGTGATGGGACTGGCTAACCCACAGTCTTTATTGTAGGGTTTTGTTTTTGTAAATTCGTCCAAAGTTTTCTACTGTAGTCACAGGCATGGTGTATTCACCAAAGGAGAAAGTTTTCTTGTTGAACCAATGACAGGAAGAGAATCTTGTGGAGAGGGGAATTTGTCGGAGGCTCAAGGAAGCTGTTCATGTCGTCTGTCCTTCTTTGATTCATGGAAACTGGGCCATACTCCCACTCTCTTGGCCTTTGGAACACTCACGCACACGCACGCACACACAAACAC